ATATGCAGTGTATTATTTGTTGAAACTGTACTTTCGATTTGATTTGAAACTGTCTCATTGCTATATGTTTATCAATAAAACTTTGAAAAGAAAAAAAAACAAAAGAAATACAGCTAGGACACAAAAAATGGATAAGACAATTATAAATTCATCATTTTGTAACTTCAGTTCATTTATGATTTAGGGTATAATCATGAGAACAATACATGAAAAGTTGATTGGGATCATTATTATAATTATTTTCATTTATGTATTTGGTTCAGAGTCTCACCATATAGCTCCGACGCTAGTGATCCTCTTGTTTTAAGCCTCCCCTGGGCTGGGATTACAGGCATGTGCCACCATGCCTGGACTGGTCACCCACTCAGTGAGCTCCAGGGGTGAGCCCAGCGCGGCATGTGAGACTGGAAAACAAACCCTGGTCCCTGAGCTTGCCAAAGCAGGCCCTTAGTCCACTGAGCTATCTTGCCGGCCCTCTATTGGGATTTTTTAAAATGAAAGGAACAGCTACTGCCAACTGAAATCACTGAGGAATGTTTAAATTACTAACAGTAAAACAATCACAGCATATGTGTCTCCTGATACAAAATAAAGTACATAGTACAGCCTATGGAGAATTCTCACCCCTGCTCCCCAGTTGAGATCTATGTTTGATCAGGCTTTTATAGTTAATTTCCAGTGTGAAAGAAATGTAAATGATAAGCCAGGGATGGTGGCACATTCTTGTAATCTCAGCACTCAGGGCGCTGAGCCAGGAGGATTGCCATGAGTTTGAGGACAGCCTGGGCTACAAAGTGAATCAAGGCCAGCCTGAACAGAAAGAAAGCAAGCAAGAAAGAAAAAAGCAAGCAAGCAAGAAGAAAAGAGAAAAGAAAGGAAACTCAGACAACATGAGGAGGAAAGAGACAAATTTAGATTGTGGGACATTCTATATGAAACTAAATCAATAACATGGAGGAAAAGGAAATTAAATATAGACTATCAACCAACTATCATGAATGGATCTTGTTTAGATTCTGATTTGAACAAGCCAACTCTAAAAAGATATTTTTGGGGGACTACCTGCTTGGGGCCCCCTTCATGTCCCTCTCTCGGACAGGAGCTTTCTTTTCTCCAATAAACATGTTCTGCTCATTAAAAAAAAAAAAAAAAATATATATATATATATATATATATTTGTGTGTGTGTGTGTGTGTGTGTGCGCGCGCAATTTGGAGACACTTCAATATGGACTGAGTGAAAACACTAAAAAATAACTTATTGTTAACTGTTACATATACTCACAATGGCACTGCACTTATAAAAAGTGTCCATGTTCTTAAGAGATACATAGCCTGATGCCTGATGTGTGTACTTGGGTGTATGCTTGTGACAAGGTCTCACTATGTAGTATGGGCTGGCTTTGAATCATCTAGCCCACAGTAGCTTCAAACCTGTGATCTTCCTGCTTAAACTTACTGAGTCTGGGATTATATGCATGTGCCACCATGTCCAGCTAAGTTTTTCTTCTTTTTCTCATTCATTCATTCATTCATTCATTCATTTGGTACAGCTTGGCCTCCTAGTGGTCCTCCTGTCTCAGTCTCCCCAGTGCTGGGATTAAAGGTTGGCGCCACCATCCCCAGTTTCAGTGACTGGCTCAGTGCCCAGGCTGGCACAGCATGTGGTACTGGAGATCCAATCCGGGTCCTTGAGCTTGCCAAGGACCTTGAGTGGCACTTAGACCACTAAGCTATCTCCTCAGCCCAGTTTTTCTTATTTTTATTTGTTATTATTATTAATATTATTTTGGTGGTACTGGGCATTAAACTCAGGACTTTTGAGGCCTCTCTCTTACTTACTGAGCAAGTAGATTGCTAAATGGCCTCAGCAGGACTTAGACTTGAAACCCTTTTGCCTCAGCTTCCTAGAATGCTGGGATTTTAGATGTGTACCACTACACGCCACCTTTTTTTTTTTTTAAATAGGTAATGCACACAAAAGATATTAAATGCGGTTAGATGAATCAAGTGTACAAAGTCTTGATAGTTACTGAGTTTAGGTATGGACTTATAGGAGCTCATGATAGTGTTCCTTGTACTTTTGTATAGTTCTGAAATTTATAATAAAAATTAAAAGCTGTAGCTATAAAGAGAAATAGCATTTCAAGACAAAATTTAAACAAGTAGAAGTTAGTTCCACTATTCTTTTACTTAAAGCATTTTAAGTAAACTCAAATAAGATGTTCATATTTCCTCCTATTAGTTTTTGGTGGTTTTTTTTAAGTGTATCATTAAATTATAACTAATAAATTTCTGTGCTGTTAAAAGATAAATTACCTGTTGTCAATAATCATTACACAGGAGGGTGGAATCCCCAAAACATCACAGCTCTGCAAAAGTTCTTTCTTACGAATATTTCCTTGATTGTAGTAATTTCCTAAGGATAATAAATATAGTGGTAGATTTAACAGGGAGTGATCTATCTATTCACTCATTTTTATCCCATCTTGTTTCCTAAAGAATTTAAATTACCTGAAAAATGTGTGATTATGACAGAAAGTTGAAGAAAATACAACACTTAAGGTTACAGTAAGATGTTTCCATTAAAAGGGCACCAACAGTACACTCTTTAGAATTACTATTTACAATGCTTCCCTATTTCTACATTCTGATCATATGCCAGGGGCAGCAAGCATGGTAAATCTTGGAGTTAGATTCAGGGTTGACTGTAAACTGGAGATAATGGCTCCCTCCTCCGGCTTTTGGACTATGAGAGGATATGTACAGAGCAACTATTCAGGCCCTGTTAGTTTTCTCTTTCCTTGACTTCCTGCTCTATCATCTTTCTGCTTCTTCATCTTCCTTTCTCTCTCAATTACAATTCATCTTTAGTTCTACTTTTCCTGGCAATCAATCGTGTCCAATATTAATGTGACCTAAGTACAAACATTTCTCCATGATCACATTATTAATTTTGAATTGTCACTGACCTAAAAGATCATGGTTTCATTCACTTTTGCAGTGTCTCCAATATCTACTATGTTGCAGGCACTTAGGAAGGTCTGACCAGAGGCTCAGCTATCTCAGAGAAAAACTCCATATGAAACACTTCAACCTTCACACAGGTTACTCTAGTGATAGCTTTAAACTGCTGGAGCCCAGATAAGAGACAGTCATTACACGGTATCCACTAAAAATACTAACTGTAAAAAGAATGTAGACAAATGACTGCTTTTCTATTGTCTTACTGCAACAATTTATTTTTTCCATTTTTTTTTTTTTTTAAATCAGAAGCAAGAGTCAAATTTGAGACAGACATTGTATTTTAGGTTGATTTCAAACCCATACAATACTCTCCCTCATTTATTATTATTATTGTTCTGTATTTTAGGGAAGGGTCTACAGGGTGTTCAGGGTCTCACTACTAGATCGGACTCATAATGATTGTCCTGTTTACAGCCTCCCAAGAGCTGGGATTACAGGCATGTGCCACCAGGCCCAGTCTCAATTGCCATCTCAGTGCGCCCTGGGGACAGGACCAGCATGGCAGGCCCCAGGGACTGAACCCTAGGCCCCTGTGCCTGCTTGCAGACACTTTAATCCACTGAGCTACTTGGCTGGCGCTCATGCACTCTCTCTTTCTCTCTCTTATTGTTCCATGGTTATGTGATCTTTGGTGATAAAGAATCCAGTGTACATATTAACAACAATTCCCAATTTTAGAATATATGATTATGATTCTGAGAAACCGCTTAGAATTTAACGCAATGTGCTTTAATCAAGGAACTTAAAACAAGTTAAAAAGTGGAAGTCAGAAACCATTTTGACTATGAAGTTTGGTGAATATGTAGAAATTCAACAGAAAGGTTTTTCTGAACAATACTGGGGATTGAACTCGGAACCTCTGCACCAAGCTTGACTCCCAACCCTTTTTAATTTTTTAAATTTTGAGGCAGGGTTTCATTAAGTTGTCCAGGCAAGGCTCAAAACTGTGATCTTCCTGGTTCAGCCTCCCAAAGTGCTGGGATTACAGGCATGTGCCACTATAGCAAACTCCTTTAGCAGCTTTTAACTGATATACTCTAGAACACAGTCGAGGAAACACGGTGCACCTGAAATGCACAAGGTAATCTTCTAGGATGGAGGAAATGCAATAGAACATCTGCTCTTTTTTTTTTTTTTTTGCAGAACCAGGGATTGAACTCAGGCCCTTGCGCTTGCCAGGGAAGCGCTTATTCCACTGAGCCATCTCCCCGGCCCCCTGCTCTTTCTTTGTTTAAAAAATTTAATGTTGGTTAATCTTCCTTAAGTACCCACTAGTTGTGATTTATGTACTTAATAAAATATATATTATATAAATATATAAGGAGAGCCTTTAAATATAAACTTATACATATATAATGAGAATATATGGTCAAAAATTTTGATCTAAGAATGTGACCAAAGAATTTTGAAGATCATTATTTTAGGAAACAGGACTAAGGGAATTTATACATATTTCTTCATACTGAACTACATTATATGGGCATGTGCATAAATTCATATATACCTGCAGGCTTAGTGAAGTTTTCCAATAGCTAATACTTCTCAGTCATAACAACCACATTCACATTTAAAAGAAATTATAGTCACTTTGAAAAGACTCAAATATATATACTGCAATGTCATAAAGGCAGAAATTTTATCTTACCTAAAAACTTTAAAATGTAAATGGGTAATAGATTTACACTGCTTAAAAAGTCAAAGAAATAAAACTAAATAATTACAAAAGCCCTACATTGACCCTTTTACTCAGTTTCCTACCCAGAAAGTTTCAATTTGTTAGAATAAGGCATTACAGTTCCAATACCAGCGGGACATCTGTTAACTACATGAATTTGGAACATTTCCTTAAGGGTCTGAATTTCATAAATGCTACCAAAGTTTTTCTTTGAATACGTCCAAGTAATTGGAAAACATATTGGAAGAAAAAAGGTCTAGCTGGGCATAGTCTTGATTCCTGTAATCCTGATTCAAGTATAGCTTTTCCCTATAATCTTAGCTACTCAGGAGGCTGAGGTGGGGGGAACTTGCAAGTTTGAGGCCAGCCTGGGCAATTTAGCAAGACTGTCTAAAAAAAAAAAAAAAAAAAAAGAGATTGGGGAGGTGGCTCAATGGTACAGCATTTATTTAACATTTCCAAGGCCTTAGAGTTCTATCTCCAGTGTTGCAAAAACAAAAAAGGATGGGGGGAGAAATCAAGTAAAACTGACCAAGCTTCTTCTATAAAATGAGGCAGTGTAGATTCTGCATCCAAGTATATTCAGGATAACAGAAACCATATAAAATATTTACAACAGCAAGAACTTTTGGGCTTTTTTTTTTGGGGGGGGGCAGGGTCTCACTACATAGCCCAAGCTGGCCTTGAACTCATGGTGATCCTTCTGCCTCAGCCTGGGGAGTGCTAGGATTAGAGGTGTGTGTCACCATGTTAGGTTTACAACAGTAAGAATTTTCTTTTTTCTTTTAGCACCAGGAATAGAATTCAGGATATCATGCTTGCCAGACGGGTGATGCTCCACGGAGCTAAATCCCTGGCCAACAACAAGAATTTAATGCAAAGATTCTGATGCATCACTGTGGAGGATCTAAGGACTAAACAGGAAACAGTGATGTAATCCAGAGAGTACAGACTATGAAAAATGACCACAAGACTGGAGATACTCAGACCAGTGTTTTAGCAACTGCCTAGTATGGTAAAGTTTGGGTTCCACTACACACACACACACACACACACACACACACAGAGTAAATAAAAAGTGACCACCTAGTCCTTGGTTGGAGAGATAAAGGCAGGAGATAGTATTACAAAGCTCTGAGGCTTAAAACTCTGGAAACTGAAACAAGAAATCTGGACCTTTTTCCATCTGGGGCCTACAGAACCTAGCTTAAGAAATCATGATTTATAAATGAAACTAGACAGGGCGGGGGAGGTGGCTCAGTGGAATAAGCACTTCCCTGGCAAGGGCAAGGGCCTGAGTTTAATTCCCGGTTCCACAAAAAA